AAAAAATGATAGAATTGCTTTTAAAAAAACATAAACTGCCGTAATAGCAGGAGACGTGTCATACACCATCCACCTGCTGACACAGTGACTATCGTCAGATGCTAGCTGGTGCCATGCTTCTTTTTGACAGGGCTTCAATGCTTCCATATGGCGCGCCAGAAGCGATGGCTAACGGGCTTATGATTCACGATTAAATGTAAACGGTCTTGTATTAGCTGACATTTACCGTATAACATATTTTTATGGCCTGCTAACGAATCAGAAATGTCCCGGCGAGGTTGGCTGGATCGTTAGCCCACAGCCGGCTAATGTTACGTGTCCCACCATCACAGACATTTTACTTAGTTACGCTACGTGGCTGAGTCCGCATTTAACCTTAATGTACACAGAGCCCGGTCAAACAGTTTTACTGTGCTGATTATAAGAATACACATTTATACTCAAAGGCCGGGAACAGTGAAGTAGTTAGCTTTGTCAATAATGTTGCAACACGCGACAGCGATTAGGTTAAGTTACAGTCATGCTATTGTTGGTTAACATTGGCTAGCGGTTAGCGGGGTGTTACAGGCCTGGCGACACCAAAATGAAACCGTGTACCTGATGTTCATGGTTAACGTGGCCTAATATTTTGGCACTGAGGGCACCGACTTTAGATTCAAGACAAACTGTAAGGAAATTGATCCAGATCGCAGTAAACATTGATTTCTTTTTATTATTTTTTTAACCGAGAACCGAAAAAGCGTTAGGTTAGGGTTAGCCATAGCTTTCCCACGAAGCCCACCGAGATAACCAACCCAAAACAGCCAACGCTGTTAATTTAGGTAACTTTAGGTTAGCGTCAGCTCTAAATAAAAAAAATACTGAACTGACGGAAAACACTAAGATAAAGTAGTTTTACCGGGACCCAGGGGGAGGATTAGCCTGCTAGCTCTGCTGGTGTGTGTGGACGGTCAGGGCCTGCTCAGCCCGTGTGCCTTTCACAAAAATGCAGACCCGCTCGGGGAACTAGCATACCGCGGGGTTTCTTCTTACCAGGAATTATAACAGTTACTTTGTTGCAAGGTAGGAACTCGGGGAATCAGCCTCGGCTCAGTCTTCTGTTAATCAAAGCGGTGGTGTTGCAGTTTCCTTGTCCTTTAACTCCAACAGAAAAATGATGCCCTTCTTGGCTAATGACTTAGCGAGCTAGTTAGCTAACCGGCAGATGGGGGAGAGTGCTAAACTGTCACTTCGGTTTAAACCCCCAGGCGTGTAAAAGTGACAGTGCTCAAAATCAAATAATATAGTCCTTCGGGAATACTATTGACAACTCCGATGGCCCCAAGAAAAGCCTCTGGACCGCAGGTCCATGATCAAGGCGTCGATGGTGATGGATTGCCGGTTAGGTATATACACAAGTATCGTGTGATGCGGCTCAGAGAGAGGCCATAGTGCGATGTTTCTCCTGTGCGAAGCCGGTACGCCTCCGAGTCGCATGGGTAACTTCCGGGGAAATTAAAATTTGATGCAGTTTCCTTGGTCATGTGATGCAGGAGCTTGACTCCTTTGATCAACCGAGGCCTCCTTATTCAAAGTGAGTCATTATCTGGAACAACACTAAGCTGATATCTTTAGCTCTTTTACGGTGTTTTAAAAAAGCGCATTTGAGTACTTACATTTCCATCACAGCTGGGACATAATGTTGCTGAGTAGACTGTGATTAGCCTCTTGTTGCAGAAGACAATGAAGTTAGCTTAACTTTATTTTACTGCATCATGTTTGATTGGGAATCTGATCATTTCTATTTATTTAATGTTAATCTGTTTAATACCATGAAATAATTACTAATGTATCTGATATTATTTTTGAGTTGTTTAACAAAGCAGTAGTAAGGGAATATAGTACAGTACTGAGCAAAAGTCTCAAGCTATTTCTCATATATATATATGAAATATATGCAATGGGAATATATACCATTCCCAAGACAATGGGAATGGTATATACTCTATTTCCATGAATGCTTGTCTTTAGAATCACTGTCCTGCTTGAAAATGAAGCCAATGCCAATGGAATGCTTTCCAGGTGGTATTGCATGGTAGATCAATGGATCAGTCCCTTCGCCACTGGCTGAAATGCAGCCCAAAGCATGACACAGCCTCCACTGTGTTTTACTGATGGCAGTGTACACTCACTGTTGTACCTCTCTTCTGACCTCTGTGCACACTCACAATGATTTGATGAAAAATTCATATTTGGATTCATTACTGACCTGTTGGAAAGGTTATTATAGTTAACTCAAACAAAACTAAAAACCGATATTGTATGGGGGAAGATTGTTTTCGTTTTAGTTAACACAGCTAAAAAATAAAAACTAGACCTTGACCTTGACAGCTAACTAAAATAAAATAAAAATTGTTAGTTTTAGTATTTGTTAATGTGGTAAAAAGTTGTTGTCATTGTTGTGTTTATATTGTAATACCTGTTCTTGT